TGTAAGTCGCTTTGGATAAAAGCGTCTGCTAAATGACTAAATAAATAAATAAATAAAAATATGGTCTATACTCTCTGACGGATGCGTTCGGTTTCTAAAACAGCGTCCATTCTCTTTCTTCGAACTGGCATGTTGTGGAAGAGATTTGTAGATGAACACAGTCGTCCCTGCAGAGGGACGAACGGTTTGAGCTTCAGCAACATCCAATGCATTTGCTTCGTTAAAGGTTTTAACATATGTTTTCAACGACAGCTTAGTCCTAGATGATATTTCGACCATTTCTGCAAGAGAGACTATACTAGAAATCGCTTCCCCTCTGAACCCATAAAAGCGGAGATTTTTCAGATCCTCCAGCGAGCTGCATTTACTTGTGTTGTATCGCAGACCCACTCTTTCCATGTCCTCCTGGCACATTCCCGAGCCATGGTCGATCACCTGCAGCTTGCAGGCCTCTGTCTATTTTGACAGCCACACATGTTGCTCCAGCATCGATGCTGTTCATTATGAGCTCCTCCACACATTGCTGCAATGAGAAAATAGTAACGCCAGAGCGCAGCTGTGCTTTAACATCTTTCGGCAAACTCTTGATCATTCTGAAAGACATAAATATTGAAACACTTTAATGCACAGAGGCGAAAAAGTCAAATGAAACATTAATCAAAAATGTAAATAACAACGCACGTGAGAGAATTACAATTACTCTTTCATTTGAATGATTCATTAAATTAATACGCACCTATACCTCTTTGGTGGGTTTTGAGATGTAATTTGTGACTGAACGTGCAGAAAACAGCCGTTTGTCAGCTTTGACAGTTGCCATGCAACAGCACCGGTAAGTTTGCTAAGTTAGCTGTTATTGTCCTTAAGATGCATTTCAGTCCTTTTAAAATGACGGTTTGTCGCTCATTGTAATGGGGCGTTTCTGTAACTTGTGAAATAAACAATGTTTGTATGACATTTCATTCGATAATTAATTTAAGTGGCACAACCATTCTTTCTGTTGTGTACAACGCTACAACAACGATGTGAACTGAACTGCAGCGGAAATGACGTCGAAAGATAAGCCGCAGCGTGAAGCAAGCGACCGTAGAATAAGTAACATACTAGTGCAAAATAAAACGTAATGAATAAAAGACTCCATAACGCAAATAAATAATAATTTCACACTAATATTTTGGAAATATATAATAATCATTATAGATTTTCTTGTAGAAAGAACAAAAGTCATTTTTTATTTTTGTGTGTTTTTGCAGAACCTTAATAGACATTGCTAATTTTGATACATACAAAACATTAAAATAAAAATACTCCCTGTTAAGATATGTGCTCATTTAATATAATTTAGGTAAAATTATGCAAGAATAAAGTTGCCTGTTTTTTAAATAATTCTAACAATATTTATATTATGATATCATGCTTTTTAACTCATGGAGAATAAGCAAATTACAGAACAGAAGTTTTTCCACGAAGAAAAGCTGTAGTATCTAGTGTATTATGTTATTTATCTTTTAAATGTAACTAGGAAAACAAAAACAAATTTAAAAAATATATATATTTATAATATTTAATAATATAATAAATAATACATTTTAATAAAACAACAGATATGAGGTTTGCAAAGAAAAAGCAGTTGCAAAAAAGATTCCAAGTAACTAATCTAAACATTATTGTACATGATAAATTGGAGCATTTTCAGATTTTCACAAAAACTAATTTCTTTCTCCATTTCATTCTGTCAGCTTATTTGTGTGTGAGAGTGTGTGTGTGTGTGTCTGTGTGTGTGTGTGTGTGTGTGTGTGTGTGTGAGAGAGAGAGAGAGAGTTTGATGGTGGTCAGCAGTAAATCTTTACTGTGTTGCTCTCCTGGGTGCTGAAATGCGTTGTTACCGAATGTGGGGGGCATCGTGGCATGTTCTCGGTGACCTTCATAAATAAAGACGTGTCATCAGTATATTACCTTTAATGAATTAGTGTATAATAGTTAAAACGAAAACAGCGTAATGTTCTGCATTAAAAGCTTGTTGAAAAAGTCACCAATAATGCATTTTCACTTGTCACAGCATGTTGTAGTACAACAGAATGTATTTGGTTGTCGTTTTGGTTATCACTCTGCATTACTGCGCGCTCTGGAAAGAAACTGAAGTGCATCAAGTAGGAAATTGAGTTAAGACTTAAAGCTTGAATTCCTGCCAAGTCAGTCAGTGCTTTGTATATTCGGTCAAGGTCCTTTCACATGTGTTAGTTAACGTGCCAATCATCGGGAACATGAGGTGGGATACAGAAGCTGAACAATCTTATGGGCTAAACGAAATGGCGCAATATGAACTGCAGAGCGCGTGAGGGGGCGTGAGGATGGGTTGGGAAAATCTACACGCTCCTTAGGGGATGGCTGTCCTATAATGTAGTGCATTTCATTCATTGGAAAAGATCAGCCGTGTTTTTACGGGAAAAGTGAATTAGTCAAGTCTCTTTTGCAACTCCCCACCCAACCCCCCTCTCTGTCTTTTTTAGTTTTTCAGATACTATGAATGTGAACGTATTACTTTTTTTATATACTGTTTTCATCTACATGGAAGTAGGCATATTCGGACACAGCGTGTAATTCTGAAATCAGCTATTCACTTTTCTAAACTCCAGTTGCTGCTGGTACTTGTTTCAGTTTAAGTAATATTCATTTATTATTTAGCTGCACGCAACTAAATAGTTGAATAACTGAACAGATACTACCAACTTTTTGAGACACTAGTATTTATTCAAATTTTTATTGGTAACAACTTAAAAATAGCCATAAATATA